ACCAAAAAATATGTGTGTGTATGTGAGTCGATTCTTCGAATTTCCCTCAACTTCAAAAAACTGCTGCACCGATTTTTAAATTTATCATCCATTCGATGTAACTCGATAGAACTCAACTACTCAGCAAATTACAAATTTTGCTGATTAGTTTCTGGTACAGATCGACCGAGCCTTTTCTTCTTAATTATTCCTCTAAAAAAAATTCGGCGATTTTGATTAAATTTTTACGGTTTGACTGTTTTGCAACCGGAGGAAATTTTTATTAAATTTTATTAAAAACGCGTTTTTAGTCTATCTTAAGAAAAAAATCACGAAAAACTAGGCATTGTCCATAGACAATAATAAATGACAATTTATCATTCTTTAATTACTTGTAGGTACGAGCTTATCTCCTTTATCAATATTTTTTTTATTACGGAATTCATTTGTTATCAAGCTATTTTGTTGAATGACGGCATGATTTATCTTTAACTTATGCAGATTTACAAGATGTTGGCATAACACTTTTGTTGGATTTGTTCAAATATAAGATAATGCATCATAATATTTGTTCATAGCTAAATTTAAATAAGAAAAGAATAATTAACGACACAATGTCTATGAATTCTATTCATATTTTTTTCAGTTCCAGTCTAGAACATTTATCAATTTCTTTTTAAGGATTTATTTTATTATTAGAGCCATGATGTACCATATTCGATTTCTAAGAAAGTAAATAGTATTTTTAAACATGCCAATGTTCTTCAAACAACAACATTTAGTTATTGTAAAATTATCAATATTATTCATGCTTTATTTTTATTAATTATCTAATCTGTAAAAATTGTTTTTATAAAAAATGATGTCATAATATAATTATTGTAACGATATCAATGTTACACTGATTGCTATAAGCAATATTGTTATTTAATAGTTCAATGTTCAGATAACAAATATATAAATGAAATGAATTCATGGAACAAAACCATTATTTGATCAGATCATTGATTGCTAAAGATAATATTATCGAGAGAGTTTGTTTATTTATAGATTAATTGATCGCATAGTAAGAAACAGTTAAAATATATAAAAGTATGGTGGGTTGAAAAATTGAGGAAGAGGAAAAAATTCCAAATACACATGCTGAATTCATACCGTTATTTTGATTTAGTATTTCTGTAAAGTTCTAGATTTGTGGCATGATTTCATTTACATCAAATGCATAATTCATCAATAAATAATTATATGATTTATCACATAAATTTCTCTAACAATTTGAGACTCTACGAAAGACACGAGCATTCCATAACTTTCTTAGAAATAGAATAGGATACATCGTATAAACAGGGCCTTCCCGAAATTGTGCACTGCATATTATCAGGGATTCACCAACCTTTGAAATTTAATCTAAATTGATAAAACTACTCATTGTCAGCACACACACATTATATATATATAGTATTATCTTCATTTCATTTCATTTAGCGTCGAGTTTCTTTGAAACTTCTGCTTCTTACTATCTTCAAATAGTATTACTGATAATTATTTAGATATGTTTTTACTGAAGTAAATTACAATATTAACCACTTTGACATTGAAAGCATATTATATAACATTGTCATTAGAGGAATTTTGTTTGCTAGTTTGTGAAATATTCTTCATGATAGTAATAATGTCTATCATTTGAATTAAATGTGAACATCAAACAACAAATAATTACATTAATTTAAAATATTGTTTTATCACGATTAGTTGAAAATATAAATTTAAGTTTATTTATATATCGATAATAATGCATGCATACATTTCGATATATTAACGATAAGGCGATATGCAATATGTATAATTATCTATAATGAGAAAGATGTTGAACTTTGATAGTGCGGTAAAGAGACGTACTTACGTTTGAAAAAATAAGCATTGTTTCAAGTTTTATGTACATTTATCAATTGTTTGTTTTTTTTACCGGTGAATATCTATAATATTGTATTATATAGTATTATTGTAAATTGTATGAAACTTCAAATAAATATTTATTAGGAAGCATATCTGTTATGCATGCGCTTGTATAGTATATTTCAAATTTTCGTTATTGAAAGCAGAAATTACTTAAGCAAAAGCGATGTGAAATTTTATAAGCGGACGGACTGCTTAATTTTTGAAATAATTTTTAAAGGGACACCTATCCAAAGCTGCACTTTTTATATTTTGATATATTTACATGATTATATTTACAAATTTTATTTCTTATCATCTCGAGTGTCTAAATATATTTGAGTAATTAATATAAATTTCATAAGGCTTATACTGAAGAAGATTCAATATATTGAAGAAACTTGAATATGACAGATGGTCATAATGTTTAAAAAGATTTTTTTCATTAATTTTTTGATGATATATTTCTATCCATTTTATATGGGTTATCTTACCATGCCCTTACTATGTATTAGCAGCAATACGCTCGCCGAGTGTTTTGACGCACAGTGCGATGAAGCGCGGCTGCCAGGATGGCAAGGAAAATGTATGGAAAATATTGAAACACAAAGATTTAAGTCGTAAATTAAGTAGTTCTATTAATTAAGAAATTTTATTTTGTTCGAAAGATGGCTTAGAAAGTTTAGAATTAAACTAGTTGTAAGTGGCATTTTGCCTTAGGGCAAGTTATATGAACTTTCTGGCATAAGTAAATAATCAACTTGGTCAATATTTAAGTATTCCGAGTTGATTTATTACACATTTTTGAAAATCGAAACGTGCCTAATACAACTCGGAGTATTTTCTAAAAGCGCGACCAAATAACTCAAATTTTAATATTTTATAATGGAACTTTTTTCCGTAGGATTATAATGTTTTAATATGTTTATTAAGACCAAGTACTCTATCGCCATACCAAAAGATCATCTAATTTTTTTTCTTAACAATTAATTTTGAAGAAAAGGTCGGACCGATCTTTGTTCAAAACTTCCCAGCACGATTTCCAAAATATATATTTCGACTAGTATTTAAATTTTCAAAATCAGATCAGAATTTTTGACTAAAACGCAGCCGAAAAATTTGCAATTTTCTGCTAATTTTAAAGAACAGCTCAGGCAATCGTATCAAAAAACTAACCAAGGAAAGTACCTACCAAGTTTCGTCTAATGAATTGAATTTTTTTTTCAATTCAATTATTTTTTTTTTTTTCAAACTTCGATGAATTTTTAAAATTAACCGACTTGTCGTAGGGCCGTAACATTTTAGTATGTTTTATAAGACCATAATATCTATCATCAAAGAAAGTTTCAAAAAATCGTCGATTTTTTTTTTTGTTACAACAACAGTTACTAACAAGAAAACGGCCTGGCCGATCTTTACCGAAGACTAATCAGCACGATTCTCAATCAATATCTTTCAAACGGTTTTTGAATTTTCAAAACCGATTCAGGATTGAAGTCAGGATTTAGGATTATAGGTTAAAACGCGTACGAAAGTTTTCACACTTTTTTGCCAATTACATAGAAACGTCTCTACCGATTGTCGTGCAAAACTGAAGAACGCTGGTCTTCATCGATTTCATCGAAATACATCGAATGGCTTTTAAATTTTTAAAATCGGTTCAGCTGTGATTTTGACAAATCAGACGAAAAACTCACGACGAAGGTAAGAAACATGCTAATCGTATGTATACTTTATCGCTTTTGATTATTTATTGATAAAATCATTTATATAAAAATTTATCATTGGGAAGCATATTACATAGCGTTTAGAGTGAAGACATTATAAAGAAAAATTGCGTCGCTATAATGGTAAATTAGTTTTTACTAATTTACATAAATTGTTTGAAAATTGAAATTATAAATTTTTGATCACATAGGGAGCCCTGTGAGGTACATAAAGGGGTCGCTAGCCAGGTACCTGCCTGCATGCAGCAACGCACCAAAAATAAGGACAGCCTATCGGCACATCGATCTTCGGCGCGTTCGTGCGGAAGCGCTGTGCCAGCCCTAGTTCATGTACACAAGTATATAAGAGAAAAGCACGATTCGAACTCATTCATGCATTTGTCGTTCAAGTGCGGAGTCTGCGTTTTCCTATTTGTTTGTTCTAACCTTCATTTCAGTGTTCGAAGTCGTCGATATTATTGATAAGGACTAATTAATTAATACATGTTAAAATGTCGGGTAATGGTCTATTATCCGTCAGCTTAAACGATGGCGGTCGAAATCTGTCGGGCCAAAATAATGTGGTGCAACCACTACTCACAGGTAAAGGCGAATTATTTGAAAAAATGAGTGGTTTCGCGTAAGCCATGTGTTTTGAAAATGTGTACTACAGCTTGTCATTCGCGTTTTGTCCGCAAGTGTGTTTGTGCTCTAGCTGTCAAAATGTTAAATGTCAAATGTCAAAAGTTAATAAAATCAGATCGAAATGAGTGGAAAGTGTAAAGTAAATGTACTTCTTTCAGATTTGTACCAAATTACGATGGCTTATGCCTATTGGAAGTCGGGGAAGACCAGTGATGTAGCTGTCTTTGATTTGTTTTTCCGCACCAACCCCTTTCAAGGCGAATTTACGATATTCGCCGGTCTTGAAGAGTGCCTTAAATTTTTGGAAAATTTTCGATACTCAGATGATGACATCGAATATTTGAGGAATACTTTGCCTATTGCGATTGAACCTGAGTTTTTTTCCTATTTGCGTGATTTAACAGCTAATGATGTCACTCTGTACGCATTGGAGGAAGGATCTGTTGCATTTCCAAGGTAACTGCTAGTCAAGAAAATTACTGTAAGAACACATAACACGTGCTTGACAGTTTTACATTCTTCTTACTCAATTCGTTTATTGAAATAATTTGTCTGTTGTGCACTATTACAATTATTAAAGATTAGTATTTTGCAATAATACGCATGAAATATGATACTAAATCCATTAATTTGCACAATCAAAACATTTGGGAATACTTGATTTTTCATATATTCATCATAATATTTGTCAATGGAATCAAAATATATAGATATAATGTGAAATCATTACTTTTTATTGTTATCATCAGAATTTGCTGATAAATGCTTTTATTTTATTTATTGCCCCATTACATTCAAAATATAATAGATTTAAGTAGTGATTTTATTTTCAAAGTATCTTTACTTCTTATCGAGGACCTGTAATAATTGTACAATTGCAATTGTATATATGAAATCATTATTTTTTATTATTGTATCATCAAAATTTTCTGATGAATGCTTTTATTTTATTTATTGCCCCATTACATTTAAAATATGATAGATTTAAGTAGTGATTTTATTTTCAAAGTACCTTTACTTCTTATCGAGGGACCCTTAATAATTGTACAATTGCAATAGTATATAATATGAAATTATTTTTATTATTGTATCATCAAAATTCGCTGATGATTGCTTTTATTCTAATTATTGCCCCCATTACATTTGAAATATAATACATACATATAGTAATTTATTTTCAGAGTACCTTTACTTCGTATCGAAGGACCTTTAATAATTGTACAATTGCTTGAAACTACATTGTTGAATTTAGTCAACTATGCTAGGTATGTACAATAAATATTTTAAGCAGAATGTCTAAATAGCATAATACATTTTCAAAATTATTTGATTGTATGTGGTAGAAATGATAAATCTATATCCTTTAAGTTTGATGGCCACAAATGCTGCGAGGTATCGAATGGTTGCTGGAAAGAATGTTTCATTATTGGAATTTGGTCTTCGAAGAGCCCAAGGACCGGATGGTGGTCTGTCAGCCTCTAAGTATGCTTATATTGGTATGTGATACTCACATTTTATTATATATATTATATATGAATATATCTGTAGATTTACGAGTAATATTTAGTAATGAATAATAAATTTAGAGCTTCTTGCGAAGATAAAATAATTATATATTAATAAGATTGTTCATCAAATATTCTTATTATATATATATATATATATGGAGGCGTGCTCCATATTGTAGAAATACCGGAATTGTCCAAATTATAGTCATAATAAATTTCATAAAATATTATTTATATTTCGTTTATTTTATATATGATTAATATCCCGACACTATGTGTTTGTCATACTGATCATTAATAAAACTTTTGGTATTTTCTTATTTATAATAGAAAAGAAAGGTTTCAAGAATTATACATTTTAGGCAAATTCGACTAGGAGAAACAAAACCGTGTCCGATCTGACACTTGAATTTCCTTTTGTTTTTCTCAGTGCGTCACTATATGGGCCAATCTGTCCAGAGACATGTGATGCGTGTTGACAAGCCGCTATGCGTGTTGGCAACCCGCTACATATATATATATATATATATATAATTTATATATGTATATAAATTTTTTAGCGTGTTGCTCAGTCGCATTACATTTTGATAATCAAATTTTGCAATTCTCATTTGAACCATTTTTCATTACCTCTTTTTGTTAATTTGCTAAAAGTAGTTCAATGAATCAAATACTTTTCATATATTTCTTTGATGACATATTTTAATAAAATTAAAGTTCGTTTTAATAAGTGTGTCTTAATCAAATTAGGGATTTTTTATTTGTGAAATTAAGTGTTCTGCTACTTTCATGTTAGCAGCAGTTGTATGAGAATATAAAATGGGTCATTAAGGGAGTATTCTAGTGTAGATTTCCAAAAAATCGTTTTTTATTTTATTTTATTCATAAATCTGGATTGAATTCAGAAATCTGGAGAGGATTTTTAAAAATTAAATTTATTTTTGGACATACTGCTGTTTCACCATGATAATCTTCTTTTGTTTTCTTCCTTTTGCGAAACTTTAAACGCGTTTTTCTCAAAACTATTCTTTTTCAATACGATGTCCACGATTTATCGAGTTCAGCTGGGCCGATTCACTAGAAATTTTTAGGGAATTTTTTTTACTATTTAAAAAAAAAAAAAAAAATTTCGAGAAACTCAAAAAAGTTGTGAGAAAAATGGTCCTTGTTTTTTAAACTGTCGCCATTTTATCAAAAAAAAATTAACTTAATCCTAGGATATGGTATGGCGGCATCAATCTATATTAAAAATCTTTTTTTTTTTTCTTCATATCGGATTACTAAGAGGGTTGCAATCGTGCACACGGTCGGGAGCCAATTTTGGACCTGAAATTATTAGCATTTTTTTTTTTTACTTTTTTTATACTCTTGTAACGTTGATAAATGAATTACAAAAAAAATAATAAAAAAAAACTATTGCCTTTTCTGCGATAATTTAAAAATGACCTAAAATTCATGCCTTTACACTTAAATATACATTTCTCCAAAGAATGACCTAAGGAAGACAATGCGATTCTAAAATTAATCTGTATTCATTGTTATTGTATTCCAGTTGTTTTCAAAATGAAGTGTCAAAATGAAGTCAAAATGATCCTTAATAGCGTTTATTTTCTTGTACGTAATATATCGTAGGCGAACTTTGTAATTTTCTTCCAAAGTATAATGAAAATAATCGATCATCTAAAAATTTGCAGGCCCATTCACCCCATTATGATATATGTAGAACATTTTCTAGTGCTACAGCTACAGCTAATGTGCGAGGCGATATAGTGTACGCGTTTAGGTGTTACTAGATGGTACCGAACATATTCATTATTAGAATCGGCTGGTACGGGTCTCGTGTGAATAATGTCGCCTCTCAAAGGCTGAACGTTTCTGATATGATAAATCGTTTTCGCTTTGAACTTTTTTCAAACTCAAGGTCTCAACTAAATTATTTTATCGAGTAATACGTAATAACGCATGGAAATTGCTCATACGCATGCGATTAGTATCACACACTTACGGATATGTTTCTTTGACTTACATTGCAATTATTTTCAAATTACTATTTCTATGTCATTATCAAAACCTGTCCGCAAAAACATTATTGTCTTTAATAATTTACAGAGGATAAGGCATTGAAATTGATATTCACTTCAGGTCTTTTATATCTAGTCTTCCAAATTTTCTGATTATTCACTTTATGTATGTACCCATGTACTGACGCATAACACATTCAAAAATCATTCGAAATTGCGAAGAAAATCGTTCTAAAAACTTAGAATAGTAAATTAACATGATATATGCACTAATTATAAATGAATTTACATATATTTTTCCACTAAATTTTTGCTTTCAAATCATTACTTGACCATTTTGGTTTCTCGCAAAAAAAAAAAAATCAGGATATTCAAATTTTCAAATATATTTTTAACTTCCCATAGTGTAAGTTATAGTAATCGTCTAAAATGGAAAATGAAAATTTTTGCCTATTTTTACGTTTCTGATGTTTCTTAACATTATGGCATACCTTACAGAATATAAATGTGTGTATGTGTGGATACAATTTTTTGTCCACAATTTCGAATCAACCGAGTTGCATGATTCAAGAAACATTCGATTCCAACTGATGAGGACACGTTCTGATTAGTTTTTGGCAAAGACAGGCCCAGCCTGTCGGAGCAAAGAGTGTAGAAAAAGAAATTAGGTTTTTGAGAGAACGAAGCATCCGATTTGAATGATTCATAAACATTTGGCTTGTGTCGATAGTGTGAAGAAACGATTAGTTTTTGGGGAAGACTAAATAAATTATTTCAAAATTTCAATTTTCCTTTTGTTTCTAAAAAAGTTGTTTCAAGTATCGAAAATAATTAGGATTTTAATTTTGATTCCAGCTCATTTATATACTTGAAGTAATTAATTTTAACTTAGCAATTCAGTTTAAAGAGTTCTTATTGTTAGAAATATGAGATAAGGTCTTTCATTATAAATCCGTTTGATTAAGTTTTGTTTATTTACTTTTCTTTTGCTCTTACATTTTGTCTGCAAAATATGAATAATGAAAGTTGCAATATTTATAATAATCTATTTGAAAACATTTAAAATTCCTTGATTATTTCAAATGTTACGGGAAGATTCAGCAATTTGTCTTAAGGCGATGTCATGTACATTATTATACATTTACTATGCAACTTCCATATGCATTTCAAATTTCAATTTGTTTAATAACTTTATTGATTTAATATTTGTTTATGAAAGAAGCAGAATTTCAGAAATTTGCCTTGAATGTCACAATCTTACATCTTCATGCAAAACACCAAGAATGAGTTCGATATGTCATTTATTACAATTTTTTTAAATAAAAGTGTATGATGTGCATTAACAATTGATCGACTAATGTGCATTGCTACTTGAGGCATATAATAATTCAACATATCTTCAATTCTTAATTACATATAATGATTTATGTACTCTTAATATCTAATTTTGAATAAGTACGCAGTGAATTCGTAAATTATAAAATAATTAGCAACGTAGCGCCAATTTTAAACTTCCGCAGTTTATATAGTGGATTAAAATAATTATAATTTGTTACAGCGAATAATAATGTTTGAACACATTTTTCCATTACTGATTACAATAACATTATCTGAGATAATTACAAATAATTGTTTTTTTATTTATGTATTTTAATTGATTCAAGGCATTGTTTTGCTTGTTCACTGATATTTCATTTAGAGAATTGCGCATTTGGCATTTTGCACAAAACGATCCATTATATTTAAGTTTAAGTATCATGAATATATAAATTAACTGAAATGTTTTCAAAATTACATTTTTACACTCGGAAGAAAATTTTGAATTATTACAAATTATCAGAGTTATGTTACGTTCTGAATTTTGCAATCAATTTCTCGTAAGAATTTCTTATCGTCCAAATTGCTTAATAGTTTATTTAATAACAATAAACAAGTCATGTAAAACGTTTGTATTATACAACCAATTATAATTCATCGCAGGAAATTTATTTCTCAGAATTAATTCGACTAATTGTAACGAAAAGTATTTACCATTTTTTTATTTTAATAACAAACGATACAAATAGAAAAAATCTTTATTTTTAGTTAAATTATCTATTTATTTTGTTTTCGCTTCTTTATAATTCATTATAACCTATTGTCTTGGTTTTAATAAATTTAAAATATCTATCGATTTTGTTCATGATATATCATCTAAACATTTTTTAAATCCAAATCGAAAATTCTAGATCAAATTTAGAAGGCATTAATTGCTATCTGATCTCTGGTCTTTGGCCTCGACATTTTTTTTTTGACTAAAACAGAGTTCAATAATTTCATTAAAACGTTTTTGATGAGTACTTGGACTCATAGTCTTGCTTATAGATTTAAATAATTTTATCTGTCGTTTTGGCACAGCATTGTGACGCATCTTTCGTAATCCTGTTATTTTTTTTAATTATTTGCTATTTAAATGTTTATTCTTTATCTTTATTTGTTGTTGTGCATGCTTATTCTTTATGTTTATATTTATTTAGGAAGTCTTTTATCAATGAAAATAAACAATATTTCATTCTCTTGCTGTGCAATTAAATTAAAATAGTAATATTTATATGAAAAACATTTGAAGTCGTCCCATGGCGTTTGAAGATATTTTTAATTTTCAATGTAGTATAAATATAAAGTATAAAAATATTTTGCGCAAATATGAGACCATATTTTTCATTTCAATCCATGATGGAGCTTTGCTAATCCGGACGGAGGGGGCGGCGCTATCAATGCTAAATATCTACTTAAATGTGATTGAAAATAATAAATACTATTTAATGATACAATGAATAATAAATACTATTTAATAATTTTATTTGTAAATGGATAATTGTTTGATTTAAAATTGCTAACAAAACATTTATACGAGGTGTGTTCAAAAAGTACCCGGAATTTTTAAATTTCGCGGGTCTGGAGTGTCTGATTGTCAAAATTTTTTTTTTATTGTGTTGGTATACATGCCCCTAAAGTATGATGAAATTTTCAGCTATATTCACTGTTTACTTTGTCTGTGGTAGTCGCTAAGTTCGACGTGTTTTTCTGAGCTCGGCGATTTTTACAATGAAGAATTGAAAAGTCAAAGAATTTGTATTAAATTTTGCGTAAAAATGAAATAAAGTGTAACAAAGTGTGTGAAATGTTACAAAAAGCCTATGGTGAGTCTGCTATGAAAAAAACAAGTGTTTACGAGTGGTATAAGCGTTCCAAGATGGCCGCGAAGACGTTGAAGATGACGAACGCTCCGGTCGACCCAGCACGTCAACAAACGATAAAAGGGGAAAGAAGTGGAAAAAATGGTTATGAATGATCGCCGAATCACAATTAGAGAAGTTGCTGATGAAGTTGGCATATCAATTCATTAACAATGCATGGCTGTTGCACCACGATAACGCACCTGCTCACTCGTCGTTGCTTGTTCGTAATTTTTTGGCCAAAAACAATACCGTAGCATGCCCCAACCTCCATATTCACCAGATATGGCTCCGTGTGACTTTTTCCTATTCCCAAAGTTGAAGAGACCCATGAAAGGACGGCGGTTTTCCTCGATTGAAGAAAATCGCTGAGAGTGCTCAAGGACATATCAAAAAGTGAATATCAAGGGTGCTTCGAAAATTGGAAAAAACGCTGGCATAAGTGTATTATATCTGGGGGGGACTACTTTGAAGGGGACCACATTAATGTAGACGAATAAATAAATATTTTTTTGGAAAAACGAAAATTCCGGGTACTTTTTGAACAGACCTCGTATTTGTTTTTGTAGTCTCGTATAAAAATCTGCACAATTTAATGTGGTAAAACATATCGCTTTAAGGGTTATTTTTATTCGAAATTTACTGTTTGTCTGAAGTACTTGTGCCAGGAAGTCAAAAAGTTCGTTTTTGTAATTTTTTTGCTAGTGATAGTATATTTGAAAATGGAAGTTCGAAATTATTAAAGTGAGAGGCTATTTTGAAACATCTTTGGATATTTGTAATTCGGCAATTCTTTCTTTCATATAACATAAACAACATACTCGTAGTATATTATTTTTTTAGATACTCGATGAGTTGCTATAATTTCATTATCAAGTAATAGCGATGGTTCAATTTACGCCTATATTTTTTAAAATTATGAAACAATACGGGACAAAACACCTGAAACCGGGAGGCAAAGTGGAAATCCGTAACTGTTCCGGGCAAACCTGGATGTAGGGCCACCTGGGTTTGTCATCCAGATTAATATGAAGTTTTATTTTTTCTCTACATTGTCATATAATTACAATTTTATTATTAGCAGTTTTATTTAAATGATAAGTGCAAAATTTTGTATGATCGCGTTTGGTACATTTATAGCTTACGTTATTATTTTACAAATGTTAATGATGTCAGCATATATTTATTTATATTCTCAATGTTTATATTACGTCATTTAGTGCTGTTTACGATTTAGTTTTATATAATTAAATTATCAAGTTCCTATATATTTATCATACTTTGCGATATCGTCATTATTTTTTGTGCATTATGCTTGTCTTTGGGCGGATGTAATATTTCTGATTATTTTGATTTTTTCCTACGTTATTAAAATCAAAATTTAATTTAAATTTGAAATGAATCAATCATTGATCAAATATTAAAGTTTATTTCAGGCTTCTACTATGTTCGTATATAAGACTAAAATCTCGTTTATTTTCAATCAGCGTTATCGAAACAATGATCATGATGTAATTTCATAAGTCATGTTAACAATAACGTACTGGTCTTATCAAAAAGATAAATGAACGATGCATATAGTACTCGAGATTAACACTCGTTAGCGGATTATAAAAATTTCAAGGTTGTCATTGGATTTCCTATATCTACTCGAGAAAAAAGCTAGACTTTTATTTGTAACATTTTGTTTTCTATAGACTTTTGCAGACGAAAAGCAGACAAAAATTTAAATGACATCTTTTTGATAGAAATAATTTGAAATGGAGAATAGAAAAATTTCTACGAATGTCTTATTTGAAATCACATGCGGTTCTCATAGGAATCTTACGCGTCTGGATTCACATCAATAACTGGCTGACCTCTTCTTATTCTAATGTTGTAAATTATGACTGCGCCATCAACGAATGAAAGGGCTTTTCCATTGTCACAGTCAATGAAGGACGTAGTATTTTGCAATTAATGACAAATTTAAATTGCGATTATATGTAGCTAAAATTTGTTGATCTGCATAGAAACGTTGTATTACATACTTAATTTTGAATCTAACCGTTTTTATTTTTACTTCTATATTAACTCTATAGGTTTTATATAGATTTTAATACTAAGTACAAATATTGTCTATATTTCTATGGGTTCCGTACTAATGTTTATTCGTTGAACTGCGGCGCTTACGCGCTCCGATATTTTTTCTCTAAAACAGCTACGCAGCGCGATTGCTTTGAAAAAAATTTCAGAATTTTCAAGAAATAAAAAAAATCAAATTTATCAATAAGGTAATTTATTTTTTAAATATCAAAATTCTTAAAAATCTATTTTTTTCAGTTTTCAAAAAATGTTAAAGCATTTTAAAAAATTTAATTTTTGCTACTGGAAGTTCCGGCTAATTGTCTTAAGGCACGATGCCGTGCATCACTAGTCAATATTCAAAAGCATATGATATTAGAATAGAATGTCCACAATATTCAAAAAAATCAGAAAGATGTTGCTGTACATTTTAGACCAATAAAGTAGGACTATCACAGCACCATATCAAATTACACTCCGCATTATATGGAGACCAAGACTTAATTGTGTTTGTATTTTATTTAGGGGTGTTGTATATGTAATTAAAGCAAACTAAACAGACGTAATGTTACTTAATAAATGATATTAATTTCTATATTAATGGAATTTTATATTCTGAAAATTATATATATATATATATATATATATATATATATATATATATATATATATATATATATATATATAATTATTTTTTTATTTAATATGGATAAATGAGTACAAAAGTTATTGAGCAAAACTAACGTTCCTATAGCAATTACAATGTCAGAAAAAATCAAGGCTAGGAAATTAAAAAAAATGTGCAGATTTGTATATTCGAATGTTTAACAACGTCCTCGCGATGGGGAGAAATAATGTTGATTTTAGTATTGGCGATCGTATTTAGGCTCCGCCGATGGTTTTTTCGATTCCGTTCACTGATGCACATGATCGTTTCATCTTTTTTGTTTCACGCGGGGTGTCAAAATCATGTCAAAACGTTGCGTTTTATGCGAGAGCTTCGGCGTTGTTCAGTGTTATTGATTTAAATGTCCGTACCATTTGGTGCCAACCACGATCCTCGACTATTAATACGACGTGCAGACACCGTTTACATATCGAACTCGCCAAGCTCTCGTGCAGCTATTACAGTTCACAAACTCCGAAACAGGGCTAATTGCTTTAGATAAAAAATCGACTTCGATTATTTGCATTTTCCTGTTCACTTCAAACTTCAAATTCGAATATTTCGATGAATCTCCGGTTTAAAAATAGTCGACTTGATTTTAAAATGAGTGTTGCAACTAATGATGTGCAGATCGCTAAAATTTCTGGGGGAAATAAGTTTGTGCATGGATTACGGAAGGAACAATCTCAATTAAATTAATATTTGCTATATTTTCGTATTGATAGCACTTCTCGGATCCCCGACGTATACAAGAATTGTCATAATTATTAAGATAATTTGTGTACATCTAAAGACATTTATAGTCTTAATAAAGAGACATCAGAGATGATCATTTCTCGGATTCGCAGGATGCTACTTAATAACTAACGAGACTGAAATAAAATAATGACATGGACTTTTTTTTAATTTAAACTATATTAATAAAATCAGTAACCAGCCAGATTCGAGCGATGAGCTGAAGTCGAAGTTTTGATAGTCATACAAATAATACTTTCATTCCGTAAATTGAAATTTAACTACTTCCGACCTGAATTCGGGAAAATTTCGTCTCTTCAAAGCACTATCCAACTAGTAAATAATCACCATAAATAACGCAATGAATCATGAAATATTTTTATTATTTATTTATCAATTTATCAATTGGTAGATTTATTTTTATTTTGTTTAGTAGATAAAACAATTGAAAGTCGAAACGATCGATTTAACATTTTATTAGGTAGTATTGAAATTTTTTTACAACTCTATAGAAAGAAAGGTCTCGTTACTTGTAGGCCTAAATTATTGACTCACGCATTTGTGTTTACTTTGATCTGTCTCTGCGTTTATGTTTAAAGAAGCAATCAGCTGTGCATGCTGCTGCTCTTATTGTCGGGAAATGATCGCTTGCGTGTCGCTTAACCTTGTTGGAGATTGTGTACTGATATTTATTTGAAAATAGGTTAAATATTTGCCGAAATTCAATTGCATTCAATTGTATTGGGACATAAGGTTTTCTGCAACACAATCATAGTAAATGTAAATATTGGTACTTCATTTTGAGGTACATGGAAATAGACCAATTTTTAGATGACAGATATTATAGCAAGTAAATACTATTTCGTTAGCTCTTGTAAATACTATTAGTAATGCAGCTTTTTTTAAAAAAAGAAACATCTTGTTGATATGCACAATACTTGTTGTGTTACAATAGATTAAATTTTTATTGATAATTTAAAATAACAGTATTTTTCAAATATAGGCGGTTTTGATGGGACGAGCAATGTTCTAGCCGGTAAATTGTTCAACATACCGGTGAAGGGAACCCATGCCCACTCGTACATAACTTCGTTCACATCGGTGGAGGAATTACGCAGCACTCTGCTGCAGTGCAAAAAGACGTCCCACGCGAAGGACCTGCGCCAACTGAGCATTGACTGGCGCCAGAAGTTGTCCACCCTGCTCGACATCGGACCGGAGGAGGCGAGCGACGGCGAATTGGCCGCGCTGATCTCTTTCGCAATTGCATTCCCGGATGGATTCATGGCTTTAGTCGACACGTACGATGTGAAGAGGTATCCTAGTCGCATGACAAACCACAACAGCACAACGGCCACATCCGAAAACAGTAACGTTTATACAAATAATAACAGTTTAAGTAAAAATCATAACTACAATAATACAAATACGACGAAACAAAGCAATACTATTGAGACTACGACGAATAGCAGAGATGTGGCCGAACGTAATTACAGATGCCAGTGCCAGCAAATTATATACTCGTACAATACAGAATTGGTGGAAAAGACTTTGAGGTAAACAAGTCAGAATATTCTTAATTCCTACACTTTACATTCAAAATAAAATTGTTTGCTTTATTTTTCAAATTGGATTAGTACTAACGAAACATTTTGCGTTTTGGATTTGAAACAAAGTGCAAGTTGTTGCCGCTGCCCAAAAACAAAGTGAATGTTGAATAGAATTTGGTCTCTGTTGAAAGAAATTTCAACATGATTTCTTTGAAGTTACGTTTAGTGAAATTATTTAATGCTCTATAAGTTTCTGCAATATACTTTTTTTTTTCGTATCGATTCAATAGTGCCTAATTGAATATTGTTGAACGACGCATTAATTTAAGATATGAATAACTTTGGATTTAAAATATAATTTGTATTAATTAATATTATTTTTCTTTTTATGAATTTTAATTTCGTTTAGCATAGATTAGTCAACATTCAGTCAAGATATATTTTTTTGATTTACACTTCTCAAAAGATCGACCAATATCGAGAAAAAATCAACTTTTTGAATGGCACTAATGTATTGCCCCTCGCCTTTGTTTTTCTATTTTTTCCTTCTTTGTTCTAATCAAGTTTCACATATGCTATAATATATGTTTTTTCGGGATGATAATCCAACAAGAATTATTAATTGGCATGAATAATCATACTGCATTGTGATCTATTGCTCGAGATTTTTAACAATTTTAATGTGAATTTTGAGTTTTTATAATTATTTTCGTTAATTTCTCAATTATTATTGTTGATTGAAGCTATAGAATAAAATAACATATAATATTACTATATTATTTTTTCCCTAATTTATGTATGCATTCAGGTCTAAAAATCTATCCTGATGCATTCTGAGTAATAAATTCCATGTTTTTAGTTGATTTAATAAATTGATCGATTAATTAATTTTGATCAACATTATGTCTGTTTTGCTTGTATTATTTATCTTACCTGTATACTTCATATGGTTCAAAAATCATTGTGCGATAGTAATCTTTATGAAAAAAGTTATTAGTAATTTTTATAGAAGAAATTCATTGTCAAGGTCTTGCAGCGACATG